ACTTTTTAGCACGTAGCTATTTATTATTAGCATTGTTCTTCCGACGTCAGATTTCTTTTTAATTATAGGAAATGCGTTTTTCTAAGGTACATAAACTTTTGGGATTGACTGTATAGCCAATACATCCTTAAGCACGTACGTACAAATTAAGCGTACTAAAATAAACGAATCGCTGTGTTACGGTACTAGATTTATTTTAGCAGTCATGTGCGTCCTGCACGTTTCTTCATTTGAAATTAGCTATAATAAATGTTTAATGACTTATGTGCTCGTACGAACAAAGTTAATTGCCGGTGATAATAACTCATGCGTTTGGAGTATGTATTAATGCTTTTTACGGTATGCCGAGCTTACAACAGCTCTATGAAGCCTTAATGTTTCTAGGAAAAACAATTATCGTTAAATTATGTTGGTTGATACGTGACAGGACCATAATTAAACGATAATCGAATTAGATAGTACGTGTGTAGATGATTAAATGAGTGATAAGAACTACTGCATAATAAATCTTCATAATGCGTGTAGCGTAACACGTAACGTTTTAGTAACAGCAGTATCATAATCTGGAAGGGAGAAAACCTAATAATAATTGATAGAGCTCATCATTATCCGATTCTACAAAATACGATTAAAAAGTTCAGTTCTCTTAACTCGATTGCGAACATATAACACTAATTGAGAAGATAACGCGCGCTGCAATTATTTCATTTAACTCGCCTTTAATTGCCTTAAATGATGCGAAATTAAAGTAAACGTGCAAGTATCGCATTACGAATGCGAGCAGGACCTGCAGCTAAAAATTAATTGCTATATTCGTCGGCACATAAAATCTCTCACCAGATTCTTACGTTTGCTTCCCGGCGACTCGGATATATACTTCTCGGGCATTAAGAGCGCAGTTAAACTCCGATAAAATTCTCTCGATGACTCTGTTTGAAAATTTCAATTTAACAATGTGCTGTTACGTCGTTCTAACAGCGTAGTTAAGAGCGGAATCATTCGCCACGGTTTCAATCTTATAACGGCGAAATACCAAAGACGTCTCAAGTTGCATACAACAGATAGTTAGTCGCAACGAGCCATCCATCGTTGGTTGCACGTACCGTTCTATGCACGTTGGTACCCTGTCGTGAATCGCGAAGTTATGATCGTGTACACACCTACTATAACCCGCCGCTACCATGTAGATCAGGGGTCGGATTCGTACGAACGCCGGGCGGCAGTTGTTAACGCTTGTGCGTGACGATTGGGTGAAGAGAAAAAAATTTACGACCGTTGAAATCTGTTACCGATTAATAAAGAACAAGCGGGACGCGTGTATACATAAATATCCCGACGGAATATTATCGATCGTTAAACCTTTCCTCAACGTTTCTCGAACGAGTCCCACAGTAACGAGATTTATCCGGTCGTATCTGTAATTTCGCATATCTCTATTTCCAGTTACGGGCATGATTATGGCATTACGTTTATCGTCAATTACTATCCCACTGTCCGTAGATAAATTCCAGGCAATGAGCGGACGATAAGTAAATAGACATTCCGTGCATAGAACGGATCATGCGGCGGATCCATCACGCGATTACTTAGAGGATATTAGCCGCGGTAAAACATTGTGCGTATAGTGATTTGCCGTTTTTCATACGACCGCCGGGCATCGGAAGCCCGCGTCTCGGTCGGGTCCCAGCCGGGGATGTCTCGCGGGTCGTGAGAGATTAGGCGCGTTTGTCCCGGGGATTTCTAGAAAATCACGCTTCGCCCCGCGTGTCATTCTTCGCGTGGCTCGGTTACGGCTTTGGGCGTATTACCTCGAACCGAGTGGAGAGAACCGCAGAAAATCTCGGCGACACGTACGTACGCGTAAGTGAGCATCGTCGAAGGAAGGTGTTCCCTGCTCGTGTATACCGTGCTCGCGCAATGCTGTAACGGGAGAGGCGTCTTTACCGCTGCATTAACGGTCGCCGTTTTTCGCGCAAGTGAAAACAAGTTTCTGTGCTCTTACAATCGCACTGTTAAATGACAACGTTTCATTAGAAATGATTACGCACCTGGCATACGCCGGGCCGCGGGCGCGTGTGTACGTGCGTCTACGCGTGTGTGCCTCACAGCCGAGCGAGCCTCGTTTTTCTCATTGGCATCCGTCTTGCTACGCGCCACGGTTCACGGTCGACGATCGGAGATCAACCGTTTGACAGAACGCTTTTCGATATCCTTGATAGATATTGTAGGCAAATGCTGCTTAACGCTAACAGCCCTGACGTGACGCCTCGAGAGCCGAGCTTTCTGATT